AGATTTGTCAACAGAACAGAGCTCATCCTCCACGAAAAGAAAACCCTACTTAGCATCTCTCCGCCCGTCCGCCGCGAGGCACAAAATCACACTCCACCAGCAAACTGTCAGTCCTGCTCCATCTCCGGCATCGACGATCTAAAGTCCTATTTCCCAATTCGCCGCTCTCTGACTACTGAAATCCTAAATCGCCTCGCTCGGTCCTCCTGCTCCAGCACACACTCCACCAGCAAACTGTCAGTCGACGGCGAAGCTCGTCTAATCGAATGAGTTCGCCACCTAAATCCCCTCGTAAGGGCTACAACTCAGGTTCGTTATTTTCTTTTCTGACATTCAATCTCTCGTTCTTCTTGCAAGTTTTAACTCGTGACTTTGAATCTCTCGTTCGCAATTGTACTGGTTGTACCCAATCAATTCAAGCTGGTGTTTGTTTTTGGTTACTTTTTATGCCTATGATTTGAGCTGCATTCCAGTATTTTAAGCTTTGGTGCTCGATTGTGATACGTGGTGATTCCTTAACCGATTCAAATATCACGATGATGTCTTTAGTTGCTTTTCTTGTTCTTTGAGTTATTCTATCTATGGTCTCTTTTCTATTGGTAATCAGTAGTTGAGGGCTCTGAAATAGTTTTGGGTTTCCAAATTGTTAACATGATGAACCAGTTACTTTAGGATGGAATTAATATCCTGAACTGGTGCTCAACAAGTGCTTTTTTTTTCGGATAGCGTAAGGCCGGTAGTATCCACTGGTTTCTGTTAATTTGCTTCTATTATCAAAGGGCCAACAGCATTACCAGTTTTTTTTTTTTCTAAAAAGTATCTTAAGCTTGATAAGCAAAATAATTATGAGATGGATAACTGTAGCTTTAGTTCTTGAATGTGAAATTTAATTATGAAATTAACTTGAATGTGGAATCAATATGGATAACTGATTAGTTGCATAATTATGCATTTTGTAGGTACAAAACGCCAAAAAGGCGGTTCGGGTCCTTCGGGATGTTCGAGGACTTCAAGTTCAAGTACACTACGACGTGCATTATCGGATGATCCACAACCAGAACCGGGCAGTGAAAATGCCACGTTCGAGGAAGAACCCGTGGAAACATCTAATGCATATGAAGATGAAGAAGGAGAATCGGATGAAAGAGATGATGGGGTTCCAAGAAAAAAGACTAAAAGAAGGGCAGAGGCATGGAAGCACTTTGATCTGATAAGGGATAAAAATGGCATGCAAAGGGCAAAATGCAAGCATTGTGAAAAAAGTTACGCGGCCCATACAAAATTGAACGGTACGTCTTCTATGAATCACCATATGAGCAAGTGCAAAGGGCATCCTAATAATAAAGGTGATGAGACAATAACCAAGTTTTGTCAAAATATAAGTGTGGGCACTAAAGAAGGGAGTTCTAATTGGAAATTTGATCAAGAATCTATTAGAAAAGCCATTGCTCGCATGGTAATTGTTGATGAATTGCCTTTTCGATTTGTTGAGAATGAAGGTTTTAGACAACTTATGTGCATTTCATGTCCTCAATTGATTGTGCCATCGAGAATGACTATAGCAAGAGATTGTTTGAACATGTTTGTTGATGAAAAAAATCGTCTCAAATCTTTGATTAAGTCGTTGAGGTTGAGAATGTCTTTGACAACCGATTTGTGCACTTCGAATCAAAATCTTAGTTACTTGTGTTTGACGGGTCACTATATTGATGATGAATGGAAGTTGCATAAGTTGATCCTCAATTTTGTTCCTTGTCCTAAACATAAAGGTGATGAAGTTAGTTCTTTGATTAGAAGTGTCTTCTTGATTGGGGAATTGATAGTGTTTGGTATTACCGTTGATAATGCTTGTTCGAATGATGTGACTATAGCCTACTTGAAAAGAAGATTCATAAATTGGGGCACTTCTATCTTGAATGAAAAATACTTGCATATGCGTTGTGTTGCTCATGTTGTGAATCTTATAGTTAAAGAAGGATTGAAACATACTAATTCTTTCATTGATCGTGTTCGGGCGGTTGTTCGCTATGTAAGGTCGTCACCAATGAGATTGAAGATGTTTAAAGAGTTAATCGTGGAGGAAAAAATTGAGAGTAAAAAATCATTGTGTCATGATGTTGCAACTAGATGGAACTCTACTTATTTGATGCTTGACACGACTTTGATTTTTAAAAATATTTTTGATAGATATGAGATCCAAAATTCCGATTTTCGGAAAGATTTTATGCCGGGTGGAACTTATGAAAAAATTGACTTGCCCACCAAGTATGATTGGACCGTCGTGGAAAAATTTGTGAAAGTGTTGCGTCATTTTATGATCTCACCCTCCGAGTTTCGGGTTCACTCTTTGTGACTTCTAACATTTTCTTTGATGAAATATTTGATGTCCATGAGCATTTGATGGAATGGATGTGTTGTGATGATATTGATTTTGTTGCAATGGCAAGAAAAATGAAAGAGAAGTTTGACAAATATTGGGTTGATGTAGAGAAATTTAATATGATTTTGTATGTTGGGTTTATGCTTGATCCCCGTCACAAGTTTGGCGTCCTACATTACTATTTGAAAAGTATGTATGGTTCGGCTCGTGGAGAAGAGATAGCGAATTTAGCTAAGAGTGCTCTTTATGAAATTTTTGATGAGTATAAAAAAATTATGGCTTGGTGTCATCAACTTCTACTTCACCGCCTTCTTCGAGTGTCGAAAATGTTTCGTCGAGTGTAATAGATAAAAAAAATGCGAATCCAAGAGTTCATATTCGGGATTGGGCTTGAGGAATCGGAGCTAGATACATATCTAAATGAACGCCTAGAAAAGGCTTCGAAAGGTTTTGATGTATTGGAGTGGTGAAAATTCAATAGTCGTCGGTTTCCCATTTTATCCAAATTGTCTCGTGATTTTTTGGCAATGCCTTTATCTACCGTAGCTT